GCACCCGAAGAGCAGAAGGCCCCGGGGGCCCCCGAGGAAGAGGCGGCGGCCGCGGGGGTGCCTGAGCGAGGGGTGGGCCATGGCCGGGGCCCGGAGGTGGCCCCGGAGGAGGCGGATGAGTCCAAGAAGGAGGACTTCTCCGAGGCGGACTTGGTGGACGTGAGCGCCTACAGCGGGCTCGGGGAGGACTCCGGGGGCAGTGCCCTGGAGGAGGACGATGAAGACGACGACGAGGATGGGGAGCCCCCCTATGAGCCCGAGTCAGGGTGCATGGAGATCCCGGGACTGTCAGAGGAAGAGGACCCGGTTCCCAGCCGGAAGATCCATTTCAGCACGGCGCCCATCCAAGTAAGTGACCCCCCTCCCCTCCCCTCCCCGCCCTGCGCCGCCCCTGCCTGCCACGTGCACGCCGTCGCCCCCACTTCGCCCGTGGAGTTTGGCAGGCTGAGTCAGCCCCTGCCACTCAGCCCCTTCCCAGAAGTTGCCACCCGGAGGGGGCGTGGGGGAGTGCCCGTTTGTCAGAAGGGGCGGATTTTCAGTCCCGAGACAGGGATGGCCTGCCTGGACCTGCCCTCAGGTTCCCCTGTCTGCTGCCCCGCCCAGCGCTCCCGCCGCACCCCTCCCTGCCCCGTCCCCCCCAAGGGTCCTGGGGCACCTGCTTTCCCGTCCATTCCTAGTCATTCTTCCTCCAGAGGTGCCACAGGCAAAGGCTTGGGTGTGTGTGTGTGTGTGTGTGTGTGTCCCCAGGAGAGCCTCCCCATATTGGTCCTTACCCAGCTCTGGGCAGGAGGGGGGCAGGGGAGCTTGGAAACACCCTCTGGACTCCCCCTGTGTAGGAGCTGTTTAGGATGTGGGAGGGAGGAGCCAGGAACTCCCCAAAATTAAGGAACGGGACCATAGCCCCAACTCTGTCATGTATGTAGCCCCTACCCCAGCTTTGCAGAAGTGAAAGAGGGAAGCAGTTCTTTGAGGGTGAGCTGGGCTTGGGTCATGTGACTGGGGGTGGGGGAAGGCCAGTGCTGGGGCCCTCTTTCTTGGGGTCTGGGTGGGCCAGGGGGAAGTGTTGGGTGCCACAGGGAATAGGTACTTGGTGTGGCCCTTGAGGGGGCTAGGCCTTCAGCTGGCTAGGGAGGAGGGGGTGGGGCTGGGACCCCCCCCCCCAGGGGACCTGGCAGCAGCCTGCATGCCTTTGCTCTTGGCTGCTCAATAGGACAGGCTCCCAAGGCCTTGGCAGGCCCTAAATGCTCTTGGCTACGTTCTCTGGGTGCCCTGACAGGGATGGGAACTGCCCCTTTGGGAGGTCTCAGTTGGCCCCCTCACCCCCACCATGCTTGGTGCCCTGAGCTCCTCAGAGCAGTGCTGGTGTGGGGGAGGGGGCATCCCCTGGGGAGACAAGAACCTCCGGCCACCTCTCCCTTTTTTCTACCCCCCACTTCTGACTGGCACATTCAGCCTAGATGGTCCTTTCTCACCACCCCTGGTTCAGTGGCCAGGTCCACTGCACCGGGTGCCAGGTTCCGGGACTGTTCTTGGCCTGGACCCTGCCCCTCCCCTCCTGAGTCAAACCCTCATCTGTTTGCTTGCAGTTTCCATAACGACTGGTGGACACTGAAGCTGGCCCAGTTTCCTCTCACTTGTCAGAGTATCTTAACCTCTGGCCCTCTCATTGAGGGGCCTGAGAGGTGCTATCCCCACCAGGCCAGCCCCTTCCGAAGCTACGACCTTAAAGTCCTTTCTCAA